ATGTTTTCTAATATGCAAATGTTCCTGTTGTGCAACATCTCTGAATTTGAGAAAAAATATTTTTCATATTTTCTTCTGTTATTTAGTTTGAAAATCAATTGATTACATTTCATTTCACCAAAGATTGATACGTGTAACTTAAAGGTGCACCCTGAGACTTTTTCACACTATTTTTTTAAAAAGAAAATTGGTGAGAGAACAATTTCTTAGGTAATAGGAAAGATCACAGCATCAGTCAGAAGAAAATCTCCCTCCCCTTTCTCCTGTAGCTCAGCAAGAAAAGTTTGCTCAAAAGGCCTGGGATCTGGCTGAATCAAATCTGGGCAGCTTCAGAGTTTCAGAGGGGAAAAAACCCTCCCATCGTGCAAGTTGACTTCCATTTCACAAATTGGGTATCACTGTTAGACTTATACAGTCTTTTAGTTCACTACATTAATTTTGCCACTGGAGGGCACAAGTGGGCATTTCACTTTTTAAAATAGCACTTTCTTTTAGGTTAAGCCCTTTTTTCAGTTAACAAACTGCATCATGTACATTAGTTTTCTGATCACAGAGATATTTGGAGTGTATTGCTCAGGATGCTAGCAAATTGGAAAAATGGCCCTTGGCCCTACTGCAAAGTTTCCTCTAAGCCAATGTTCCCCAACCCCTGGTTTCTGGCCTTGGCTGGACCAGGCTGCAGAGAAAGATCACCCGCCCCCTGCACGTCCACCTGCACAGCCCTTTCACACATGTTGACCCCCTGTGAGCACCCCCACTCTTCACGCATGTGCACAAGTGTGTGTGCTGCGTGAGCCCACATGCACATGCACATGAGTGTGTCTGCATGCTGCGCACATGCCCCTACCCCTTCGCACATGCACAAGTGTATGTGCATGCCATGCGAACGTCCCCGCCCCTTTGCACATGCATACAAGCGCAGGGGTTGCCCTGTCCGCCCGTGCATAGCCCCATCCCCCCCAACTAGTCTGTGGTGTCAAAAAGGTTGGGGATCACTGCTCTAAGCCATGTACACAGATGACTCCACCTCTCTTCCTCCTCCGCGCAGCGATCCCATTCAACCCCTTTGATTCCACTCACAAGAGATCCTTGTGTGCAGAGGGACAGAGGCATGTGCGTGAGAGGCAGAGCTCCGCCTAGTCTGAAATTTAGAGGGAATGTTGCCCTGCTGGGTATCACCCACCCCCTTATCTAAGGTAAGATAAATGGGGTAGTACTACACCTGGAGATCCAGTTTAGTGTAGTGGATAGAGTGATTGACTAGGATTCAGGAGATGGGTTCAAATCTCTGCATTGCTGTTATGAGTAAAACCCACTGGGGTGTGGCTATGGTAAAACCACTCCTTAAATATGTTACTTACCTTGAAAACCCTATTAGGGTAACTATAAGTCAGATGCAACCATAACAAATAAAGAACATTAGAGTCTACTTCTGATGCGGCACATCATCATTGTTTAGACCCACTGCATTCAAAAGCTGAATAGCTATGATAATGCCTAACCTCTGATAGACAATGAACAAAAATAATGAATCACTCCTATGTATTAATCAATAGAATCTATATCCACATGCACATTCAGCTTGTATTTTACAAGGATGGGGTACGTTTAATTAGAATGTTTGAAGAATATGTAGATGATATCCTTCAATTCCATTGCATTCTGTAGATCAGGGGTCCCCAAACCCCGGTCCGCAGCCCGGTGTTGGTGTGTGGGTTTCGCAGGACTGGGCCACGGAGATGGATCTCTGCCCCCTGCCTGCCTCAACGGTGGGCGTGTTGCGCTCGGGGGGGGCATGGTGTGCTCGCGGGGGTGTTGCACTTGCAGGGGTTGTCAAGCTCACGGGGGCATGTTGTGCTCACGCGCATGTGTGTGAGAGTGACACACACAAGCAAGCGCAACATCCCCGTCCCCCTGTGCACAGAGCCCACCCACCCCAACTGGTCTGCAGTTCCAAAAAAGTTGGGGACCACTTCTGTAGATGGTTTGATTTGCTCATTTCTGGGCAATTGTAAGCTCTTACGAGATACAGTGGGGTCTCTACTTAAGAACTTAATCCGTATTGGAAGGTGGTTCTCAAGTTGAAAAGTTCTTATGTTGAATCTGCATTTCCCATAGGAATGCATTGAAAACCATTTAATCCGTATCTGCTCTTTTCCGTCCATAGAAACTACAGTGGAACCTCTACTTAAGAACTTAATCCGTTTTGTAATGGTGTTCTTAAGTTGAAACGTTCTTAAGTTGAAGCAAAATTTCCTATAGGAATGGACTGAAAACCAATTAATCCGTTCTGGCTGTTTTTTTGTTATGTAGAGGTGCGTTCGTACATTGAAGCATTAGGTCCCATAGGAACTAATTCAAAGCTGGTTAATACGTACTCTATCACTAGGGGGAGAATTTTTTTTAACCTAAGATGACCTAAGGTTAAAAAAAGAGCAAGAAAGGTTTTTTTTTCCTGTTCTTATCTTGGATTTCTGTTCTCAAGTAGAAGCAAAATTTAGCAAATGGAGCTGTTCTTAAGTTGGATTGTTCTTAAGTAGGGACGTTCTTAAGTAGAGACCCCACTGTACTTCACATGATCTGTGCAAAAAAATTATAAGACTTCCTAGTATTTGATTTACTTAGATTATGTATATATTGAATTTCAGTTTTCCTTTGTTTTGATTATCAGTAAGTTTTGTATTTGCATGAATGGCTCAGTGAGCAAGGCTCAAGGCTGATATGTATATTATATAATATAAATATAAAATAGCAATATGTATCATTGGTATCCATCACTGGGCACCAGTAATTCATTTGAAGATATCAAGGTTTATGTCAGTTTCCAACAAAAACAGGTAACATCCGCACCATCATTGCTTTCTAATATCATGTTTCATTTTTAGTCTGCCATGCTGTTAAATCTGTAGCATTATAGTTGGAATGCTTCAGTTATCCAGATGTGATCCTATTATGTTTCCTTTAATTCCACCAATATAGCTGCTTTTGCATAGAATATGTATGTAAAAAGGGAACCATAGAAAAATATGTGTAATTCTATATTGGTACTTATTCTTGAATGTGAAAACTGTATTTTTAAAAAAAGCTTTGTGTGGTAAAATCTTCATTTGGGGCCATTTTTTCACATTTGCAGTTAGTTGCATATTTTATTTCTGAACATACGACACTGCCTTACACTGCTGAATGTTGGTCTCATCCTGATATTCTCTCTCTTGACACTGGTTTTCATGACCCCAAATAGAGCTCATTCTAATACTATATGCAATTGTTCTCATCCTGATATTATCTCTCTTGACACTGAGCTCATTCTAATACTATATGCAATTGTTCTCAACTGGAGATATTGGAAAGTAAATCTAAGACCTTATGCATACAAACCATATCACTCCCATTATTTCCTTTCTGTTTTCTTGTATGGGTTGTAATGTTGACACATGTCTTTAATTTCTTTCACAATTTTTCTTTCACAGTAGTTACATTCAATACAATACATTTCAATTGAGAATAGTGTGACGTCTAATTATATATACCACAATCTACTGGTGTTCTAACTCAAGCATAGAATGTGGTAGCTGCTTGCTTCTTTGTGGTCTCTGTGACTCACACACATGGGTTTTGTGACCTATGCATAGCAGTTTCTGAAATGTTCTAGAAATCAGTGGTTTTGCCTCTGAGCTCTGCTCCACTCCAGTTTGTCGATGTGACTAACCAGCTTCCCTCAGTTCCTTTTTATCCACCATAGTAAGCAGTTAAGGAAATAGTCTCAGAGACCTTCATTTACCAGAATAGTAGCTTTTTTTAAAAAATTCCCTGTATTTTCTTTGTTCCTAATAGTTTTAGTTACTGTTTGAGTTTATATAGATTTTTTTTCCTTTGGTTTGGTTACCATTGTTTGTGGCCGTAATGGTCTTATTCAGATAGTATATCACATGGTGTAAAATAGCTTGTATTTTACAATATACCATGGACTCTCAACCTACTGAGTTAATCCGTATTGGAACGGTGTCCATAGGTCGAAAAATCTGTAGGTCGAAAATGCATTTCCCATAGGAATGATTGAAAACCATTTAATCCGTAACTGGCCCACGAAACCCCGCCACACACAGACACACACACAAATGAAAATAAATAGAACTTACCTTTCCAAAGCCTTCCAGGGGGCTACCACCACTGCCATCGCCGCTGCCCGAGGCCTCAGAGGTCTCCCCTGCTGCTACCGGAGGCCTTTCGGAGGGACCCTGTCCCCGCCTACGCTGTCTTTGGTTGGGCAGTCCCTCCAACTGCTGGTGCACCAGTAAGTGTACTAGCAAATAATCCATGTGTGCAAGTCTCAGAGACCACAAAGCATTACATGTTGTTTACCTGTAACGGTGGTTCTTCTGTCTATTCACCCAACCAACACAGTTCCTCGGGAACACATCATACTACCTTGTATGATGGATGATGAACAAGAACTGAAGAAAATTCGTTAGGTACCTGTGCATGAGCATTGGAGGGGACAAAGCCCAAAATAAAAGTTACTGAGCCCTAGAACATTCCAGAGACTGCTCTGTGCAGACATAGTACCTATGTGTATGAGTTTTCAGAGGATTGCTCAACAAATGGGAAACCCTGACATCTGAGCATTCAGCCTGGAGGCAGGCGGTGCATCACAGCCTCTCCCAATTTGAAGAGACCCTTGTCCAGCAGGCCAAGGCAAAGAGGCAGTCACAAAAGCAGCAAAATCAGGGAGCTGGATGAGGAACATATTGTATTTGTCTTCAGTGTGGAAGGGATTGTCACCCTCAAATTGGCCTTCTCAGCCACACTAGACGCTGTTCCAAGTCCTCCACACAGAGCACGTTACCATAGTCTCTCGAGACTGAAGGATGCCTAATCTAAACTCAAAGAACCACTGTAGCCATAAGCAGTCTGTCATCCTTCTGTCATAGTCTTTCTTGACCCACCACAGGAACATTGTAATGTTTATTTAGTAACTTTTAATTTTTCACATGTAACAGGTCAGTGCTCCGGTCTTTGTGCCAATGAAAACATATGAACTACTTCACCGAATGAGTGGAAAAGGATTAGCAGCTCATTATCACTTCTCAAGACAGCCATGCATTTACAATGATCAAATGGTGTCTGTCCAAGTTACATTAACTAACACCATTGACCAAATAATGGAGAACATCCACTTAGAAGAAAAAAAGCTGCCTACTGGCCTGAAGGTGCACACCTTTAACCCAATAGGTAATCGAACTGTTGTTTTGAAAGCATTTATATAATGTATTTTGCTACATTATGCCATGAATTGAAAAGTAGTAATTTAAATATTTTAAACATTTAAACCATTGAGTTAAGTTCCTGGAAAATCTTTTAGTCTTCAGAAGCTTTAAGTAGTCTAATTAGATAAAGATTCACATATATTAAATGATTCGGAATCCAGTACATAGCTATATTCACAGTCCCACTGAAATCAACGGTACATGTTTGTGTGGCCTGGCAAAGACATTTGCCTAAATTACAAGTGGGATAGGAATATTTTTTTGTTTCAAATATCATTATATCATTATTTACCAAATAGACGGTACTTAACAGCGAACAGTTGTAATATTCATGCAGCATTTCAAATGACATCCCTGCAGTCCTTAATTAACCAGTATGCAAGTTTTCATCATCAAAAAACATAATCCCAAAATATTGGCCAGAATCCTGTTGGTTATTTTTGCCAGTGTGAGTGGAGGGTCATAAATCACAGCAGTCAATGGCTGCTAGTTGATAAGTCTGTATTCTTTATCATGTGATAAGGAATACAAGTGGCAACTCCTTAAGAACTCTAGTAGCAATTTGCTGCTGCAGTTTACGCCATTGCATTGAATTTATACTGATTTAATCAACTTCAAATTTGTGGCCACTGAGTATCATCCATATATTGGTCAAATTTGCTTTCTGTAAGCTTTATTCAATAAAGAGGTTTTGTCATCATTAGCTGGATTTCATATAGTGTCAACCAGTCAAACGGGATAATGCAACACATTTTTCCATTTTGAGGTTATTAATATTTCAGCAGCAGTAAGCAAACTAACAACCATTTTACATTCTTTCAAATGCTAAAAGAATCTGGGATTTTGCACTCGCACTTTGTTCAGTATAGAAGAAGGCATAATGGCTGAAATCTTACTTATGCCATGTATGACTGATGATATTCCTGAATCTCTTTCATCATCAGGAAGCTGGGGTGTCTGTGGAACAGGAGAAGGAAGTCTTTAATTACTGAAAATCATTGCCACCACTTCCCCTTACTAACCTGTGGCTCCCATGGCTTCCCCACAATGAAAGGGATTCCATAGGAGCCTAGGACATTTGGAGAGAAGTTGAAAATGATTTATTTAAATAAAAAAAATCACTGCTTCTGCATCAGTCTTGTGCAGCCTAAGTTATGCCAATAGGATTTCAGCCACTGGTTTTTAAAACTTATTTTAAAATTAAATCACATCACATTGCAAGTTGTGTACAAATTTTTAGTTGCAAGAAATTCTTGATGAGTTACTGAAAACAAAAAGTATTTGGAGAAGTCTTAAACAATAGCTTACCAAGGTCATCTCAATACCTTCAGTGTCATTTCTGACACTGATAAATACATATCTACATGCAGCTCACTAAAAAGAACCCCAGAGGGTCAGCCACCAATCCTTGTGATGTAATTATTTTCTCTGTAATTCAGCTGGCTAATAATTTATCATTAATCCAATTGATATCTGTTCCAAAATTGTTCAAAGTCAATACACAAGGAATAAGTGAGTGTATAAAATTTAGTGCAATTTTTAAAGATATGCTTAATATCTGAATATGTTGATTTATCTGTAACCTTTTCAATGTTTTAAACATTATGTTTACTAGAGTCTCTTGAACCTGGGAAATCTATTACAGTTACAATGGGAATTGACTTCTGTGACTCAACTCAGACTGCCAGTTTCCAGTTGTGGTAAGATATGCTCTACTACCTTTTCAAAATAGATCATTTCTGTGCAGTGGAAGTGAAGAGAGGGTAATATAATCTATTGCTATATCCTGTTAACTGATGGGATTGTGCTATTTGAATATTAATTAACTGATTGGAGCATTTCTTTTTAGAAAGGTAAAACCAAGAGAGAGAAATATGTCTTGAAGTGTCTGTGCATATTGTTCAGCCATGCCCAACACATTTCCAAAAAATGACAGGAGAGCTGATACAACTTTCGTACACTTCGTTTATTTTATTTATTCATTTGATTTATACCCCACCCCCCTAGACAGCGTCATAAAATATCATTAAATAACAATAAAAACATCACAATCAAAAATAAACAATATTCATAATCGTAAAAACATTTGAACAATAATGTAGCGCGATCAAGATGGGGAATAAAAAAGAGAAAAATAGAATTCAAGAATTGACAGGAGGGAAAGCCTGCCTGAAGAGCCAAGTTTTTAAATGGCGCTTAAAAACACCCAACAAGGGAGCCAGTCAGATCTCTGATGGAAGGCCATTCCATAGATGAGGGGCCACTGCCAAGAAGGCCCAGTTTCTTGTTCTTTCTTTCCGGGCCTCTCTCGACATTAGGCCCTCAACCGACCCTCCTGGCTATGCCGAGTAATTCGGGTAGATCTGGGTGGGAGAAGGCGATCTGCCAAATACAGAGGTCCCAAACCATTTAGGGCTTTATATGTCATCATTACCACTTTGAAGTCGATGCAGAAGCGGATGGACAGCCAGTGTAGGGCAACCAGAGTGGGAGACATATGCTGGTGTTTTCTCACCCCACTAAGAAGTCTGGCTGCTACGTTGTGCACCATTTGAAGCTCCCACATCAATCTCAAAGGTAGCCCCACGTAGAGCGCATTACAGTGGTCTCATTGCGAGATTATGAGCACATGGATGAGAGTAGTGAGGGACCCCCCCATCAAGGTAGGGTCACAGCTGGGCTATCCGCCACAGATGAAAATAGGCGGAGCGGACCACGGCCGCCACCTGGGTTTCCATGGTAAGTGCCGGGGCCAGATGTATCACCAAGCTGCGGACCTCACTCCATGTGGTGAGAGACACCCCCCAAAAAAGAGAGGGAGTCTCCCAAACTGCCAGTGGGGGGGCACCCAGCCTCAAGACCTTCGTCTTGTCCGGGTTCAGCCTCAACCCAGCATTTGATACACTGTTTCCATAATCATACTGTGAAATTGTAATGTGCAAAGAAATGAAAACATCTTATCACCAGACATTACAGTAGTTCTTAACCATTTAATTATTTGTTCATAACATTTACATCCCACCTCTCCCCCAGTGAACTCTAAGGCTCTTTTGTTCCCTTCTTTATCCCTCTAATCAACATATTGTCACTTTGAAGCTAACTCTATTGTGCTCAACCAGTTATCTGTCTGTGGAAAATATTTCCTCAACTGCGGATTCTCATCCAAAGGGAAATGTGTGAAATCCACAGACAAATTTCCTTGAAGGAGCCAATGGTGCTAATGTAGGTCCAAGAGCAATAAGGGACCAGGAACCAGCAACAATTGGGAAATGATTGTCTATAATTTTAGTAGTTCTCAAAAAGGAAAACCATGTGGGCCCCAAATTTGTTTCTGGGCAAACAGCAAGAATAGCTTTGACTGGACATGGAGAGTTCATGACATGGCAAAGGGATGTGAATTAAACATATAGAAGGTACAGTTTTGTGCCTGGACAGGAGGCTAGCTGACCAGGGCAATTGATAGCATTTATGGGATGGATTGCTCTGCCAGATATCTAATCAAGAAGAGCCATCTTGTTGTAGTAACATCTGAGAGTATGCACTTCCTTAATTGGGTGTGTTCCTGCCCAGCTTACAGGACTGATGGTCCTCAGGCTCATCTTCCATTATGAGAAATTCTTTTGTTATTACCTGTCCTGTATAAATAACTAGCTACAATGCTGATGCCAGGGGTCTTGCATAGAATGGCATAGAATGACCTATTTGCCATTCTTGAGTTTTTGTACACATTTAGTATCTACAGGTTTTATTGGACTAGCTCATAAGCCTTTCAAGGTCTCAGAAAATACACCCATTTGGATTGATTTTGGAGTTTGCTTTTGGATCTCCAAGTAGAATACTATTTGCTTGTTGTTGTTTAGTCATTAAGTTGTGTCTGAATTGGTCAAATTCATATTGGTAGCTTCAGTGACCTTGTCCAGCCATCTCGTCCTCTGTCATCCCCTTCTCCTCTTGCCCTCACACTTTCCCAACCTCAGGGTCTTTTCCAGGGAGAGTTCTCTTCTCATGAGATGGCCAAAGTATTGGAGGCTCATCTTCAGGATCTGTCCTTCCAGTGAGCACTCAGCATTGATTTCCTTCAAAATACTATTTGCTAGACTTCTGCATTGCCTTTGTCCTGATTGAGGACTTTTCTGGCTGGGTGGGTTTGTTTTGTGCCTTAGCATGCCAGGACATTGCTTTTGAGGCCAGCCCACCTGTTAGTGGAACAGCTGTTAGTTTGTATATAAGTTGCTGTATATATTTACTGGTGTTCATATTTACTGTTTGCTGAACCCCAAGTTGGGAGCAGCTTGTCAAAGAATTTTTTGGAATTATGCTAAAAATGACTGTACAGTGGTGCCCCGCATAGCGAGGTTAATCCGTTCCGGATTAACCCTCGCTATGCGGAATCGTTGCTAAACGGGTAGGGAAAACGTATTGAAACGCATTAAACTTAGTTTAATGCGTTCCAATACCTTGCTTACTTACCCGTTCAGCGAGGATTCCCCTTGCCGGCAGCCATTTTCGCGCCCTCGCTAAGCGAGGGCAG